CTTTTCCTGTCATAAAAAAAATCTCATATCTCCATTTATGGCCTTTATTTGGTTATTCGATTTAAAAAAATACCAACTGCTCTTTACATTGTATGAACATTTCATGACTAGGAAACCAAATTTACTGGAATAAAAATCTTGACAATAAAAACTCAAACTTTTTTTCCATTCTCATACCATTTTGTGAATAAGAGGTTTTCTTATGACAGCATTGATTTCACAGACACAATAACATTTGCCAAAGACCCCATATACACCTGGTCATTTCATGCATCTTGGATTATATCTGGATGAGGCCAAACCATATAGACATGCAAGTGTAAACGCACTCAAGATGCTTTTACAACAGATAAAAATCAAGGAGGTCACTGAGATGGATTTGAGCTACATATCATAGCACTGTAAACGCAACCGTCTCTCCAAGACACATCCGACGATTAAAATCCCTACAACCGAAACTCCTCCCAGTACAGCCGCAAACTCCTCCCTATACAGTACGTCCCTGAGCATGTGATCCCTCAGTGTGTCCCAATTCAGGGGCTGCATTTCGGTTCAGCCTTCGCGGGTCTAAGCAGCCTTCGAAGGACACGCCTTCGTAGACTGCATCCTTCAAAGGATCCAGCCCCTGAATTGGGACACACTGCACGTCTGCGAGAAAGATAATCATGGAGGACGCACATGGTTGGGGACCGGATGACACAAAATGCTTAATAGCAACATGGACAGACACATTTTTAGGCCGCAGCCATCTTCAGTGTCATACAGGAAGAGGCTGAATGGATTAACAATTGGTAACTGGTTGCCACATAATGAGCGGATTTGCATGTTCTGTCCCACACAGCAATCAGATTTCGGTCCAGCTGTCTAGAGACAGATTTGACTACCAAGTGTAAATGCATTTGGCTAAAATCTTATCTGGAAACAATATAGATAGCAGTCACCTGAAGTGATCAGGTGTGAACGGGGTCAAAGTTGTCTTGGTCTGTATAAAAGTGTGTTACTACTTATGCAACTCTACTGGCATGTTGTTCTCTCAGGCTATATGCAGCATCTGCACTGGCTGTTCTCAGCAAGCCCACAGTGCAGCCTGTACAGCCTGTAAATGAGAAATGTGTCAAAACACTGTGGGCTTAATTCTGCACTTCCTTTTAGAAAAGTCTATACTAATTACAAAGCTAGCTAGTGATAATAACTGTTTATTTCTCTGGGAGAAAAATGATCTTCAAAGTTCACCAGGCATTTTCACTGTTTAATTTATGGTGTCAAGATTTTATTGCTTCAGTTTGTAAACACTGTTTAACGAACATGAAAGGCATCGTCTGTATTGTTGTTTTAAGCTAGTTAATTGGATCATACATGCTTTGAACTGGTTCTCACAGCAGATACGACACCAGAGGAGATTACTGGTTGAAATGTAAACGGCATAGCTTGTATCGCTAAACATGGCGGTTGTGTTACAGGACATCCTGCCGTTCAATAAGAAGAGACAGTTGACTTTTTAAGACATAACTAGGAAAAATGTCAGATTTATCATAGTCTTACATTTGACACAACAGCAAATTAGGCTGCTTCTGTCTTTGCAACAGTGCTACCAAAGTCCTTACACCAGAGACTTTATCAGAGGAATAACCATAGAAGCAGCCATAAAGAAGGTTGGTGTGGTCAGACCTTTGCCCTCTTGTTGTGGAGGAATGCACACAAGTAATAGCCAAAGGACCAGAAAAAAATATATTTTTGAGTGTTATTTGAGCTAAAGACCACAAATTATTTGCTATTTTTCTCCAGTTTTATCTGTGATTTCAAATGTTTTTGAAATGTTTATTTATTGTTTATAGATCTCTCCCCATTTTGGTAGACAGGGACCTATGGACAGCTGGATATAACTGAGGATGTTCAATCAGAATTGCAAAGAATTTTTCTTGGTGCTAGGGTAAACAGTGATTCCTGAAGACATACGCAGACTAACCCTTATTTAATTTCCAGTCAAAATGGCCATCAAACACAAATTATTCATTTTAGGAGATATTTCTGAGACAACTAGATGTAACCTAATCCACTTGCATAAGGAAGAGGAAAGTCAAAAGAAAATGAGTTTCCAAAGCTCCAAACGATTAAAATCAGAGAAAAGGGGACTCCTAAAAGCCATGCAAGACCTGGTAGACACTAAAACTGCCCCCATCAGATAAACAGCACCTAAAGCTTTCATCTCTGAAAGAGAGGAGAAAATCAAGCTGCTTCAGATCTGAAAACATCCACAGGTGTTTCTGTCCATCCTTCCGCTGTGAGAAGACGACTCAGCGCTGTGGGTCTGAAAGGATGTGTAGCTGATCAAGAAGAACCTCACTGAGAAAAGGAGACGGACACATCAAACAAAGAAGCTGAACAATGGACTGACCACCCCAGAGTCCAGACCTCAACACCACTGAATGTGTTTGATTACTTGCAACAAACTAAATACTGAACATTTTGATATTATATTTAGTTGTTGAGGTTTATGTGTAATTTTCTTTTAAATGTTTTCTGCTTTTCCTTCATTGATTCTGAAAACTTGTGCTTAATGGCCATTTTGACTGGAACTTAAATGAAGCGTGGTCTCTGACTTTTTCACAGCACTGTACTTTATAATGAAAACTTTCATGGCCACTGAATGAATAACCCGATTGCCACGATTACCAGGCGAAGTCCATGTATGGTTGAAGTGACCATCTCTCTTTCTCTATCTGCAGTGGTGGCCAGCATGAAGGAGGCTCAGGAGAAGCTGACCGGAGATGCCTTCCGAAAGGCCCACATGGGCGACGAGCTGTGAGAAGAGCAGCCACACTACATCACTTTCAAACCACTGTTTGCACTGGGGCCAGCCCAAACCTCAACTCCTTGTTTCAGTTTCTGTGGTCCACTTTAGCAGAGTGAATCCGCTCTCCGTCCACTGTTCTCCATGTTTTCGGTCATTGCAAAGTACCAGCTGTCCATAAAATGGCATAAATCGAACCAAAGCATTCTACTTAGCTGTCCGTTTGTTAAGGGTGCTACTGGGTTTTGTTTATCATCCGACATCATGCTGAGGTTCTGTTTATTATGCCCTCATATAAATGTTTCGTTGAGCTCAGAGCAATATGTCTGCATACCGCCCTCCGACTGCATTTTTAATAGGCGCTCTGTGATTTCGTTCAAAATTAGAAGTAATACTGAATACACTTGAGACGACGATGAAACCGTTATCACGTGCTTCCAAGCTCCATCTCATGCTGCAGAATGACAACACAGTGGCCAGCCACATGAACAAAGGGCCTTATTTTCCCCACCCAAGCGTGACGAGCTTAAAATTTTGTATTTCTGACTTTAACAGTCCTAAAATGATGAGATTATTCTAATGAGTATATTTCTTATCCTGCCAATTTGTGTAATCCAGTCAGCAGTACGGACCTGCCTCTGGTTTTATAAGACTTCAGATTTTTACTGTAGAAAATGCCTATTAATGGAAATGTGAAGGGCCAGTGACACGAGCTGGTGTTTCAAGTGTTTTCTAAAGAGGGAATAATCTGTGTGGAAGTGTCTTTGCCATACTGTATTTTTTACATGTATGTATACGGCCAAGTGTACAATTAAAGTTGGTACTTGATTAAGGTTATCTAGTCATTGGCTAAAATCTAGGAACACGCGGGTTTGCGAGCGTTTTAGATTCCAGTGGAGACGCTCAGGCAAGCTCGATGTTGCCTTATTATATTATGAATCAAGATGAGGTTGCCAGGCTTCTGTAATATTACCAATCATTATTTTTCCTTGTGATTTTTGTTGAACAACTTCACAGACTTTACTTTTTATAAAGCTTGACTGAAGCAATGCCAACTTGTTCTGTACTGAGGATCCAGCTGAAACATCTTTAAATGGATCTGTGCAGCTTCAACAGTGATATTTCCTTCAGTAACGTGGTGAAGTTGCTTATGTCTTGCATTTCGCTGCTGTCGGAACAAACCTCGTATCTCCATTTTTGGCGTTTTTTAGGTTTTGACGTCATTTGAAAGTGCCTGTTGCTCTTTACGTTGTGTGTGAATTTGATGAATGAACCAAAAGAAGCAGCCCAAAAAAGACTGGAAAAAAAAGTCTGATCACATTGACTTACGTTAAAAGTAAAGTATATTTTTTGCTTCTCCTGTAATGTTATCATTGGAGATACAAGGTTTTGTTCCGACAACAGCAATATTTTGATTTAGAGGGAAGACTACGATGTTGCCTAGTGAATATGGGCAATATGGCGAAAATCTAAGCACAATACTTCAACGTTTTCACAAAAGCCAATATTTATCGGATTTTGATAAGTTGGAACAGGCAAAAAAGAACCAATAGTACCACACTGAAGGGCCCATATCATGGACAATCAACTTCTTTGAAATAAGAATAATGTATTATCATTGTTAAAGTTTCAAAATATACCGTTCACTCCTCACTCAGTACAGTGCATATATGGAAACTAAACTGCACAATACAGGACAATCAGAAAAGAGCTGATTTAAATATAGCAGCATTAAAGGCACAGTAACAAAAACAGCCTATTCTAAGGGATAAAGAGAGGTTGGAAAATGGTCATGTAAAAATTAATTATATTGATCATATCACTGCTCTCAGAACAAAACCTTATCTCCATTTTTGTTGTTTTTCAGTTTTGATATAATTTGAAAATACATTTACATTGTGTGTACATTTTATGATGATTGGACCAAAAGAAACGGCCGAAATTGACTTGGAAAGAAGTCTGGTTTCATTGACTTACATTAAAAGTAGAGTAGGTTTTTTCCTTCTCCTGTAAAGTTACCATTTTGGAGATATGAGGTTTTGTTCTGACTGTTTTGAATCCAGTTAAACAGGGCTAATTAGGCTCTATAATGGAAGTACTGTATTAGTGCAATACAACATTGAGAAAAGCATATTGTGATGTGACAGTTTATCACAATAACAATAAATATCACCACCTACTGTCGCCTCAGTGAAACAATACTACTTCATAAAGGACTACAAGGATCATAGTAGTTTATTCATCACAGTGAGTGACTATTCAAACGTTTGCTTAATAAAATAGGAGACAACTGACACTGTATCTTTTCCAGGGTTTGATGAAAGTAGTCCCACGCTGCTTAACTGAGTACCTGTATTTGAGCACAATAAGGTATTGTTCATACAAAATAAGACAATACATCTGTGTAGGCATACATACAAACATACAGTAAATCTCTATCACAAACATCCCTTATGGAGTGACACTACAGCCATTATAAAAAGAGCAGCCCAATAGAGGGTTTTTTTTTTGTCCAGCAGGTGGCACACTAGCTCAGAGCCAGTGACTCTCGCGTCAATTAAAAGCTTTCTGTTAATATTTGCATTTTCATTTCCTCCCTGATGGACAAAAACCAGCCAGCTTTGAGCCACCGCAGTGAGATTTTCCAAAGCTACCTTCGCAATAAGATGGCACTACATCAGAAGTTTAATATTGAGACAAAACTCTAGCTTCCCAAGCTGAAATTTCATTATAAAACATATCAGATATTGAAAATAGTCCTAGTCCAGTGTCTTGAACCATTCTGTGTAAAACAAGAATTTTATTAAACAAATAAATTAAAAGGCTGAAAATATATCTATCCATCTATAAAATGACAATTATCGTATATTCATGTACAAAATATTCTCGTAGGAATGTGTCAGAGATCACCCTCGTCTAAAGTTAACCATCACGTTTCAAAGATAAGCTATATATTTTAGTTATTGTATAAAACAGATAACAGCAGACTGAAGTCTAGACCTGAGGCTAAAACTCCTACAATCCTTCATTGGAACAAATTTGTAAGGTCAACACAAGTGCAGTAAAAGAAGCCATTTCTAGCACATGGTTAATAAAACACGGTAGGTGGTGGTGGTGCGTACATTTAACAGGGTTGATTCTTGTGACTGTCGCCCAGGTCACACATGGAATTCACTTATATTCAGAGTTTCCCCTCATTTAGGCCTCAGTGACTCCTTTGCAGCTTGTTTTAAAAAAAAAAAATCACTATCCTACAAAACATTTTATTATTCGTACACAGTGACCGCTTACTGACCTTGTTACCGATTTTGAACAAACATTAGTGAATCAGCCTGAAAGGCACATTCATGATACGTCATGCTTAGAAGGAAATCAGCGAATTGAAGCACAAAAGCTAGAATTATTCTTAGTGTAATTTAAAAATCCTCAGAATATGCCAGGATATGAGGGCCGTGTTAAAATCACTGGGGTTTGCTTCTCCGCTCTACAGAAAAGTATATGCCTTAACAAGTTTGTGATGCCTAAGAAAATAAGTACACTTTGAGTGAGCTATAGTATATGTGCCGTCAGATCACAGTGGTAGGAAATCAGCATCACTCCCTTCTACATACTGCCTGCTGTTCTCTATACAGTATCCCAAAGGCTTCGCTGAGCATGGGAAGTGGGGGAGTGAGATTAAAACCGTCCCTGCTTGGCGTCGCCAATAGCTCCCCACACGTCGAACACAAACTCGTCTGGGAAGGCGAAGTCTCCGAGAGCTTCGTCTAGAGCCATAGCGAACTCGTCCGGGTTCACCTTGTCCCGACCGACCTCCACCATTGTTGCCGCTGTGGGAGAGAAATGGAGTTGTGAGTTATTCAGAAGAATACAAACGTAGAGTGCGCTGCTTTAGGAAATAAACATTTCGCTGTTGTCGGAAGAAAACCTCGTATCTCCAAAATGGTAACTTTACAGGAGATGGAAAAAATCTACTTGACTTTTAATGTAAGTCAATGGAACCAGACTTTTTTCCAAGTCATTTTGGGTCGTTTCTTTCAGTCCATTCATAAAATTTACACACAATGTAAAGAACAACAGGCATTTTCAAATTATGTCAAAAATTGAAAAATGGAGATGCGCGGTTTTCTCCCGACAACAGCGATGTGCTATTGATAATCTGACCTGGGGTTCAAAAACTTGAGAAAAATGTCCAAATTCATGGCACTCTGAGTTAAAAGGCCTTTATTATAACGTGGCTATGGACAAAAGAAATATCTCGACGCATTTTGGCGTGAGCCTTCATCAGGGAGAGTCACGAGGGTCATGAGTGCCTTAGATTTTCACTTTTGTTTCAAGAGCTGTGATATGTTGAGGATCAATACAGTGAAATTGTAGCTCCAACTCTTCCATAGTAAATGTTAGGGCTGGTTTTACACGGTGAAACTTGCGTGCAACTTTACTCTTAAAACTGCCCCTGAGTTGCAGAATGTAAAGCGTCCCAACACTGATTAGAAACACTTGCAAGCATCTTAACTTCGTGGAACAAGTTTCATAAAACAGCTAATCAAAATGCTGATGACATCACATAATAACATAGAACATCTTTTGATCATCAAGAAAATGGAGCAGATGATGTTTTATTGGACAGCTGAAAATGAGATCCTTATGGACTTCATGTAAAGTTGGTGCGTTTTCACTTCAGTTTCCTGAGCCATGACAACAAACAGGAAGCTAATGATTCTCTGACTAGCAGGTTTAACTAGCTAGCTAATGCTAAGAGCTGTTAAAACGGCTGCTTGAGCAACCTTTTATTACTTCTTGAGCCTTCTGTTATTATGATCTATGTAGGTTCTCCTCTCGATGCCCCCTAATAAGGTCAAGTACAAAAGTAACGTCTCAAAGTAATTTTCAAAGGCTTACAATACAGAAAGTGGATCAAAAATTAAGTATATAGAGAAGAATAACAGCTAGATAAAAGACAGACAGAACAGGACAGCAGTGACAACTGAAAAAATCTGTTATATGCAGTTTAGAAAAAAAAACTTTGTCAAGTTGCAGGAAAATTATGTTGCATGCAACTACTTGCATGAAAGTTTCACCGTGTAAAGCCAGCCTTAATACAAGCCACGAAAGTGTCTACAGGAAGGGTGCCCAGTCTTATCCACAGAGGGTTGTGTGGCCACAGGTTTTCATTCCAACTAAGCAGGTGTGAACCTCATTTAACTTCTCAATTGTCTGACCAACTGATTAAGCAAGTAGAATCAGCCGCGTTCCTGCTTAGTTGCATCCCAGCCGGCCCTTTACGGACAGGATTGGGAACCCCTGCTGTAGACCATCTGTTGCTGCACGATTTATCAGCCCTCCTTTCATCATTGGTCAGTTTCTGATGAAGCTTCTCATGAAGCAGGATATCTTGGTTGGCAAGAACAAGCCTACTAGTTTGAATGACTAAACCTCGGTTAACAGGGAACATGAGGGAATGTTTAACGTTTTACGTTTATACATCCACTCACCTAATTCTGTGTCACGGATGCCCATATAACTCTCGAGCAGGTCATCCACTTTCTTCACTGCCTTCTCTTCAAACTCTGTGGGCTGTGAAAGAGAGCGTTCCATACGGAAACAGTCAAACAAATTGCCAACTCATACTGCACTGACCAAGCGATATCATTACTTGCGTAATAATGGTAAATGTTCTCACCACTTCCTCCACGGTTGCTGGGCCTTTGGAGCGTAGTCTGAGAGTCCCTCTGCCAGTGCCAATCTTGTTTTCTCCTCCAGGTTTGCCTCCTTTTGACCTTGGCTCCAGCATATCTGCAATTAAACCAGTGCTGTTTGAGATCAAAACGCTCTAAGAAAGTTATGGAACAAATTACAAGAAAACCTGAAATTATAAAAATACCCAAAACAATGGCCCAACTTCATTTCTTATTTTTACCACTACCCCTTGTTTTCGAGTGTCATCTTGCCCCTTGGAACTGAGTTACAAGGGGTAGTTGTTGAAATCTTCCTCTATGAAACGGGACCCTCAAATAAAAAGAGCATTACTTCATTAACAGCTACTAGCGCTGCTCTGTAGGTGACCCTGCCAGTCTGCAGTGACAGCAGAGGAGGGTAAAGTTCAGCTCCTCACTGCTGGGCTTTAGTTACATTTAGGGCATCATATGCCTTCAAAGAGGGGGGCAATTATTTATTATCACCCACCCCTAATTCTTCAGTGATATGAAGCTGAAGTCAGATATTCTCCAGCTTCTTGTTTGAATTTTTCTATTCCACCTTAAATGGTGCAGCAGTTGTGACACCTGAGGTGCCAGAATGTAACCATTTAAGGTGGAACGGGAAATTTAGCTAGCTACCGAGACATCAGCTACTAATTGTGATGTTATAAAGAAAATGACCATACACTGAAACGAAATTAAACTGAGATAATACAGAGGTTATTGTTATTTTTTACAGAGAAAATTCTCACATTTGTGTGTTTTTTGGTCTCTTGCTCAGCCACCTTGCCGGTTTTTCTTATTTTTTTCCTCATAACTCTGTTTGGAGTCTCTGATAAACCTCTGTTTGGAGGGCCATGTAGCGCTAACACTTCGCCCTACCCCTCTATCTCAACAAGAATCAGGACACCCTACCCCTAGACGTGAATGGCTAAATGGTGGGGTAAGGGCTCAGTGATTGGGCCAATGTTTCAGACATTGCAGCCAGGTCAGAGTTATAGTTTGAGTTAATATCTCAGTATATAACTCCAAATCAAAATACAGTTTCAGTCAAATCAAGACCTCTATGCCTGAAAGCTGTGTTTAGTTTGTTTCCTACTGATTAAGATGATGATAAATTTCTAAAAATCATGTTTTGCTGACGTTTAACTCCTGCTAGTCCCAGCAGTTACGCAGACGATGAAGTTTTGGAGAAAGACTCACCAAAGGCTTTCATGGGCTCGATCAGTTTGAGGGTGAAGGACTGATCTTTGGGCAGATCCTTCAGCATTCGGGCCACTTCGTAATGCCGCGTTCCCACAATGTTCTTCCCGTTAATGCACTCGATGTGGTCTCCCACACAGATCACCTTCACACCGTCCACCACACTGCCCTCCTTTATACGCTACACAAACACAGACATGGAGTGGGGTCACTCATAAAACATGGAGACAGCTTTTCAGATTAGGACCACCTATGCGAAATCAAGTCATTCACATAAATAAAACAGGGTCGTTTTGATGGGTTCCGCTACCACAATGTGAAACAAGAGGACACGAGGAAGATTCTAAAAGCTGTATAACATCCAGATTTACATTATAAAGAAATTACATTCAGAATTCATCAGATTTCAAAGTGGAGATCAAATCTCAAAGAAGTAAATATGTAAATAAACTAGTCTATTAATTCTCATTTAGTTGATTTTATCAGTTTATCCTTTAATCAACTTCTTTCTTTTGTGAAAGAATTCCCAGAATTGTTCAAATATTCAATAAAACATCTAAAAATACCTTTTTATGAACAGTCTGCAATATTTAAATCCTCACTGGAGCTTCTGAAAAGATTTTAGAGGGGATTCAAGTCTAAGATTTTTCAAAATTATGCTTTGTCGGGAGATGCATAATCGAGAAATCTGTTATCAATTTATATAAACTAGAATATTTTTTCAAAAATAAACCAGACCATGAATCTGAATCATGATGAGCAAAACTAAACCTGCTCCAGTCATGTAAAGCTACAGCAGACTACACTGAGGTGTAGTCAAAATTCGAGGCCTCATCAACACAAGATGGCACCCTTTTCCTCGCTTCTCAACAGAACAGCAAGTCACATCCATATTTATTCCAGATGACAGAACAGACTGTCTTCATTCATCATCAACTGGGTATGTAATTATTATACAGGGGTTGCAGATCGTCGCTGTCTGAAAATCTTTTTAAAAAATAATTTGTAAATGCCAGCAGCTCATGATGAACACACCAAAAGAAAAGGTTGAAAATGATTTAGAGCAAAATGTCATTGAATGTTACATCTTTTCCTTCTCCTGTAAAGCAGCCATTGTGTAGATATGAGCTTTAGTTCTGACAGCAACAATATGTTTCTCTAAACCAGGCGTGTCAAACTGGGGACGTTCCGGGCCAAAGTACTGCAGAGATTAGTGTTTACCCTCGTCTACTCGTCTAATGCTCTGAATTCAGTTCATGAAGGCCTTGATAATTAGCTGATGAGCTGAATCAGTTGTGTTTAATGAGGCTGGAGTCTGCAGAGTTTTGGCCCGTGAGGACTGGAGCCTGACACATGTGCTCTAAACATTACAAATCAGATTCAGCTTCATGTCAAAAAGCAAACTGATTATGAGATCCATTCACTTTGGTGCCTTCAGATGACGCTTTGACAGAGTTTTTTCTCCTCAGGACTGTTGCCTCCTACCTTTATGAAGGCATATCCGGCCCCGTTGTCTGTGATGGTGAGGCCCAGCGCGTCCTCAGCCTTGAACACCTCCACTTCCTTTTTGATCCCTTTAATGTGAGCGAAGATGAAGTCCTCCAGGCCGATCTGCCCTCCGAGCAGCTTCTCCATATCAATTTTGTGAGTGTTGAGGGTGCAAAATAAAATCTGCCAGGAAAGATAGGAAGGGTAAATGTTTCACAGTGCAAACAGAAACACTCTCCGAAAAAAAAGGTAGTAAACTGTCACTGGGGCAGGACCCCTCTCGTCACTGGGGTGGTTCCCTCAAGGGTTCATCTCAGTACCTTTAGTCAGGGAACATAACTGAACCATAATCCATTAAAATGATATGTTCTAAGCTGTACTGACTCCACACACCCCGTCTCGACTCCAGGCTTTTATTTTACTGTTCTGTTTTAAAACATTCGGTTATGAAAAGATACAAATACAAACTTTTCACCTGGAAAAACTTATTTAAGGTTCACAATCAGACCTTAAACCCACTGTTGTACCTTTGAGGGAACATTGACATGGTTTGTATGGTGATGTACCTGCACCCAACCTTTATTTCTAACAGTGTACAGTATAAAATGCTTAATGGTTAATATGCCATGTTGACGAAATGCAAGGTCTCTACCTTCCACGCATTAGTTACCAAATGAAAGTCAATTTGGTGTGAATTATGGAGAAGAAAAGCCATCGGTTTAATCAAGGAAATGGGTTAATCCCTGAGCAGTGGGGAATGAGTTGAGCAAAGCCTACCCAGTTGAAATGGTGGGTAACAGCCTCAGGAACGTTATGATGAAACTCCCATGCACGCACATTGCACAATACTGATTTATCCCAGGCCTTAATAATAGAGTGACCTATTGAGTAATATCAAGAAACATGAATACTTGAACAGATTCCAGTGGCTGCTCCTTTAAACTGAAATCTGATATGTCTGGTCAGTCTGACGGGTTTCTTAACCGCTACATGGCAGACGGCTAGATGTCCACACCTTGGACCCAGCAACCATATGCACCGATAGAGTGACCATATCGCTGGTTCCAATCGCCCTCAAATCTGGCATCCCTTCTTTCAGTGTGACCCCTGGCAGCAAAGACGGGAAATACGATGCCTGGCAACCTGAGATATTTGTTGCCAGATTTAAGAGCAACCACTGAGGGACTGTGCTGGCGAGAGCCAGGGAAAGAACGTTCTAGCTGAGAGAGAGTTTAGCATAATGGCCTTGGAATACAACAGCGCGGCAAGCGAGAACAAAGCGAGCTGCGTTTCAAATGCTAATTTGGCTCATTTCCAGCAGCCGATCTTACGTTGTACTCATTCGTTGATAAAAAGGTCTTGACGACACACTCAGCCAGACCTTTGAACGGAGCGCAAGACTGGAATTTGTGGTCATAAAAAGGAAGAAAAGCTATATTGGCTTGTATCAATTAACTAGAGTGACCTTCGGATTGCCAGGTGCTCCAACAAATCCTGGCCTGTTCTCTAGCCGTCTGTGTGCTGGACACACATCAGCTGTGACACGCACTCACACCGAGGCATGTTGCCCTTGGTAACCAGTGCGTATAAAAAGGCCTGGATTAGGAGGGAGCATGGGCAGGGGTTCTGGAAAGGGGGCGGGGGGTGTTAGAGTGAATGAAGCGCCAGGTTTTGCCTGCTCGAGTCTTGTTAAGGACACTAAAAGCTGCTATCTGTGGGCGGATTCACAGACGCCCACGCTGCCGTTGCCAAGGATGCAGCTGACATCATGCCGCCTCTCACAGGCACGTTTTGAAGTGCACAGGATGTTCCTGGGCAGCTTCGCTTCCTAGCGCTGACACACCACCCGTAGAGGGGAGCGCCGTATGGGGTAAAGCTCCGGTCTCTGCGGGACACGCTCAGCTCGCAGGTCTAATCGATTATGGGATTCGTGCCTGTTGACCAGGGCAAACTGTGGAAATACACTTGTAATTATGTGCAATTATCATGTGTACATACTGTCTGGTGTTAACTGCTACTGTAGAACCCACATTTCTCCATAGGGATCAATACTGTGCATTACAGATGGGAGATATACAGGAAATATCAGGTATATTTTTCGTTCATCAAGGTACAAACAATGTAAATGTTTCCTCAAAAGGTACAACAGTGGGTTTAAGGTCTGATTGTGAACCTTAAATAAGTTTTTCCAGGTGAAAAGTTCGTATTTGTACCTTTTCATAACCGAATGTTTTAAAACAGAACAGTAAAATAAAGTCCTGGAGACGAGACGGGGTGTGTGGAGTCAGTACAGCTTAGAACATATCATTTCAGTGGATTATGGTACAGTTATGTTCCCTGACTAAAGGTACTGAGATGAACCCTTGAGGGTTCCACCCCAGTGACAAGAGGGGGACTGCCCCAGTGACAGTTTAGTACCTTTTTTTTTCGGAGAGTGTATGTATTTTGGCATATTGAATAAAAAATACTTGACAAAAACGGCCAATTTATAATAGAATCCTCAAACTTACATAACATAAAATGCGTTAAATTATGATGGAACCACTTTTGCCAAACAATTTAAAGGTACTAAACTGTCACTGGGGTGGTCCCCTCAAGGGTACGTCTTAAATACCTTTAGTCAGGGAACATAACTGAACCATAATCCATTGAAATGATATTTTCTAAGTTGCACTGACTCCACACACCTTGTTGTGTGTCCAGGCTTTTAATATTCTTTTTCTATTTTAAAACATCAGGTTATGAAAAGGTATAAATACATAGTTTTTCCCTCTGAAAGTTGGACCTTAAGATCATTGTTTTATCTTTTAGGCTACATTTGCATTGTTTGTACCTTAATGAACAGAAATGTAATTGATGTAAATGTATACTACCTTTTTTCTGACTGAATAAATACTGTAAAAATTTAAACAGTCATTCGACTGAATAAGTGTGTCTGTTGTTGCTCAGCCGTGGCTACAAAACAGGGCAGAAGGCAACAGGTATCACTGGGTCAATCTTGTCAAAGAAAAAACATGCTGGCGATATCAGACAGTAAAAGAAGGTTACGTTTGCCAGTGCGTTCTATCAGCGTGTGATATAAAATAGCCTACATCCATAAACAAAACTACAAACAGAAATAGATTATGTTCAGTAAACTCTGAAGTGAAGACACTGAGAGCTCCACTCTCTCATACAGAGCTGATGGAAACGCAACCTCATTTGCATTTTTTTTTTTTTGCCACATTTGTTATTTGCTCAAATGGATGAAAACATGGTTTGTGGAACGATACCCCATGATATAGATCTCATCTTCACACGGATGCAGTCATAGCCGCCTAGACGGATTAACCTCAGAGAGCCTAAATACCTCAACACAAGCTATGAAACACAATTTAAACATTTACAAAACTTATGTTCTCATTCAGATTACTGTTCTGTTAGGCAGGCTTCCTTTTTTACTCTTCTGTTGCAATTTAAAATGCATATAATGTCTATCTGTACTGATGCAGAGCAGTAAACCTGATTTGTCATATGCATTATTATGTAAATATACATTATTAGATATAAAGGCCAGACTCATATATTGGCCAATTATATTACTGTCAAATTATCAGCCAATTCTACTGTTCATAATTAGCTTCTTTTTTGTGTGGCACTGGCCGGATTCCACCTCCTGATAACAAGGTAAACCCTTAGTTATGCCTCTGGTCAACTCAATATGGGTCATGACTATGTGACCGCAACACAGGCTGAACTGGTGAATCTGAACACAGAACACCATCATGGTGAAGACGCGTCCTAACCTAGCCTTTAGCATAAAAATAACATGTTATAGGACATTTTTAAAATAAAGAGAACTAATGAAATAAGATAAACAGAATCCAAAAATGTGAAAAGTATTCTGGGTAACTCCGCCCCCAGTGCTACAATGTGTTATTTAAGACGTTGAGTTTCTGCTGCTGTTTGAGACAATAGAGAAGTGACCATCATATCAGTCAATACTGACACAAGCACCAAAAATATTAAATATTAATATAAGATTATACGGCTTGATATTGTTTATCTGAATTTTTAGCCCCCTAAAGTCAGTATCGGTATCAGAATGTTCATATCGGTCAGGATCTACACTGTTAGAAATAAAGGTTGTGTGCAGGTACATTTTTTGTTTATCAAGGTATAAACAATGTAAATGTTCCATCAAAAGGTACAACAGTGGGTTTAAGGTCTGATTGTGAACCTTAAATAAGTTTTTCCAGGTGAAAAGTTCGTATTTGTACCTTTTCATAACCAAATGTTTTAAAACAGAACAGTAAATTAAAAGCCTGGAGACGAGACGGGGTGTGTGGAGTCAGTACAGCTTAGAACATATCATTTTAATGGATTATCGTACAGTTATGTTCCCTGACTAGAGGTACTGAGAGGTACCCTTGAGGGAACCACCCCAGTTTAGTTGTAGTATGTATATCATGACACAGTTACTGTCTGAATAGTATAAAATGTCATGATATTAGTTCATATTTCCCTCCCCTATGTCTTCCTACTGCCACAGTAATAATGCATTTGGCCGGTTCTCTTGAACTTGTGAATGTCCGAGTCAACCTCGAGGAAGTTGCACTTAAATGGCTGACAAAGTCATAAACACGAATGGTAAACTCGGGCAAGTTCCAAGTCACCCGAGTTTGTGTATTGTCCCTGAGTTTATCAGAGAATATGCTTTCTGTATCAGAGAATTTCTGTATTACCCTAAAACCGCTTATAGCTTGTGCAAAATGTGGTGCTAAGTACTTATTGATTTCTTTAAAGTTACACAATGTAAGATTTGGTGATTTGGCGACCTCTCTGGCGGAAATGTGTAATTGCACACGCTTCCTTCCGAAATTTGGACATGTCAAATGTGAGGATGTGAGTGAATTATCCACTGTTGTCATCATACCTTCGTCAGTATAATGTTGATTTTGCATTTGAGGCCTGAAGATCTAAATTGAGCCCAAAAAACTGACTTTCAGTTCGACCAAAAAAAATCTGAGGCTCCTACAGTTGACAGTTTTGTTTACTTTATTCTGTTTAGCATTCAAATAGTTTTTGCTTTTCATTGATTTTTCATTTACACTTGTATTTGCACCTTAAGCTGCATTGCTATGCTATACAAATGAATATTGTTATTATGATGGATTCCAAAGAACCGAGAGTTCGAAAAAGAA